TCGCTTTGTTTGAAATGCAGTGCTGGAGGAGAGCTTTGTGGATACCCCAAACAGCCGGAAAGATGAGCATGTGGGCCAGTTGGCTTCATTTTTGGAGCAAAAATGTTGAAACCAAGGCTGTTCTACTTTGGACACACCATGAGAAGGCAGGATTCTTCAGAAAACTCAATAATCCTGGGACAGGTGGGAGGCAGCAGAAAAAGAGGTAGCCCAAATAGGAGATGCACTGACTCCTGAAAGGAAGCCACAGGCTTCAGTTTACAAGAGCTGAGCAGAGCAGTTGAAGACAGGCCATTCTGGAGAGGGCTGGTTCATAGGGTGGCCATGAGCTGGAAGTGGCTTGACAGCATATAACAATAGCAGGTCCTTCTGTTCATGCTCAGAGGCACTCCTCTGTAACATAGCAGGGATCAGGAAGAGGTGATCTTTCCCATGACGGCCAAATGCCTACCATATTAGCTCCAGCGTGAGCTGAGAGTAAATAGATATTTAGATAACACACACCCCTGGCCATCACAAGCCCTGAACAGAATGGCCTGCTCAAGAGCAAGCCCCGCTAAACTGACCAGGGAAAATATGTGTATGGGAGGGCAGCCTAGATCGATCCAGCCTCAAACGCCACCTGCAGTGACTTCAGCGATTCACCAGATCACCCTAACGACACACACACACACACAAACACGGGGTTTGTCTAGCCAGGCTCCTCTCACCCGCAGCTCCCGTTTCCAACGCCCGCATAATGATGCGATGGTTCTATCAGCCTACAAGGATTGCTGGGCGCCGGGCGCTTCCTTCGTGGCGTTGCCAAGTGGCAACTGGCAGTCACCCAACACCAACAAGAGCCAGGCGCGCGGACAAACTCGCGGGGCGTGGGTCTGGCTGCCTTTCCCCACACACACACACACCCCTTCCCCTCCTTGCTCCGGGAAGCGACTCGGTCCCCACTCGCTCCTTCCAGCCGGAACAGGTTCCAGCAGCGGCGGACGCGGCAAACTCTTTGCAAACCTCTTGGCCGAGCCCGGCCTCGAGGCTCCCTTTTCCCGAGGGGGCGGCGCAGAGCGCACAGGCCAGCCGCCCGCGGGCCTTTGGGGAGAAACGAACCGAAGCGGGGGGGGGGGCGGCGGCGGTCCCGAGCACGAGAGGCCGTTCGGCTGAAGCGATTCAACCCGATCCGGAAGAGGGAAAGTTCACTCTCTTTTCCGCAGCTACAGCGCCCAGCATGTGCCCAGACACCATGGCCGCAGCGGCCGGGGAATGCGGGGCGTCGGAGTCCGGGTGGGGTGGGGTGGGGAGAGGAAGAATAACTTTCTTCCGCTCGGCTCGGAATCTGAATCGCTTCAGCCCTGACCGCCTCTTCTGGTTCGGGAGCCCCACTTCCTGGACAGATTCTGTGTGCTGTAGTTTGCTAAAAAGAAAAAGAGAGAGAGAGAGAGAAAGAAAGAAACTTTTCCCCATCTCTGATCCCGAGAACTTGGCTGCCGCTTGGCCGCGCTCTTCTCCAACTTGTCGGTGAAAGGAAATACCGGATGGGCGGCGAGAGACCCTACTCACCCGCCTTGGGTCCGGAGCAGATCCGAATTAAACCTGCTCCCTCGGCAGCCCCTGAAACGGCGAAAAGAGCGGATCCCTTTCCTCCGGGGTATTGACCGAGGAAAAGCAGGGGTCGAGAATCCCACATAGGATCCCCCGGCCGAGGTTTTTATGAAAGAAACTCGGGCTGTTCTTTTTCTGCCTTCCCCCCCCCGTGATGTCACATCCTGAGTGTGTGTCTAGAGGAGGACCACAGCTGTCCCTGGCGTAGCGTGCCAGCTCGTTCCTTTCACCCTCCCCGCCTCCCCCGACCCCGGCCCGACACGCCTCTTGCACGAGTGTAGGGGGCCTTGTTGCTTTGTGGAAGATTCTCGCTCGGAAAACCCTCTCGCTGCCTCTTCCGCTTTCTCTCTCTCTCGCTGGGGCGCGCGGGCGC